ATGTGTCTGTATGTGTGTTTGTATGTATGTGTGTTTGTATGTATGTGTGTTTGTATGTATGTGTTTTGTATGTATATATGTATGTGTTGAAGCAATATAAAAAGCTTTGTGTCTGCTGGGTATCATTATTTTGATATACATCGTCATAATATCAACAATCTTTTTTTCTTTTATTTCTTTAATCGTTCGTTCGTTCATTCATTCATTCATTCAGTTCATTCGTTCGTTCGTTCGTTTGTTTATACATTAATTCGTCTAATTGTTTGCTTTTAATTGATTGATTTATTCGTTCGTCCTTTCTTTCGATCATTCATCAAACTATTAACTTAGCCAATAATTAACTAACTCATTCATTCATTCATCCATTAGTTCATTCAATCACTCATCTATTCATTCGATCACTCATTCATTCACTCATTCATTCAAACAAAAATTACACAAATAAGACAGACAGGGAGACTTATCGTGACGTGTTTATGAAATTAACGTTGAAAGTGGAAGTTTAAACAATGAAACAAACCATTAGAAAGAGCATGGAATAGGAGGAACTGTATGTATGTGTGTGTACGTGTGTTTGTTTGTGTGTTTATGTGTGTGTGTGTGTGTGTGTGTGCGTGTGTGCGTGTGTAAGTAAATGCTTTTTATGATCAATTGTTTAATTCTGTCCTGGTTATGACATTAAACTGACCCTCAATGCCTTGTGAGTGATGTTGGATCATCAAAGGCTAGGCCCACCGCTTATAACTGTGGCTGCGTAAGGAAGGGCGTCCTGCGTAAAAATTAGCCAAATAAATTACTTATGATGACAGAAGTGACAATGGCCCTCAGTATCCGGCAGAATGGCGTCGAGGGGTATTTCGGTTTCATCATAGGTAGCCAAACGGCAACCCCCGATCTCGGGGAAAATGTGTGTGTTGTTGTTGTTTGTTTAATTTTGATTTTATGAAGAAGTATTTTGAAGCGTTTAAAAAATTTTTTCGGTGAATTTATGAATATAAATAAAATGAACAGTAGTGAATTTTTGGTTAAATTTTTTAAATATTAAATGAAATCAGTGAGGAAACGATATAAATGCAAACGTTACTGACGAGTTATGTATATAATGAAGGGTAATCATCATTCCCTCATTAATTACTTAATTAATTATTTCATTCATTCATTCATTCATTCATCCATTTATCCATTCATCCATCCATCCATTCATTCATTCCTCCATCCATCCATCCATCCATTCATTCATTCATTCATACATTCATTCATTCATCCATTTATCCATCCATCCATCCATCCATCCATTCATTCATTCATTCAATCATTCATGAATATAATCATTCAATTCAACGTGGATGAAAAAATAAAATGACAACTAAGCGATCGCTCATTCATTAGTTTTTTGGATTTTTCTTTCATTCATTCATTCATTTACTCACTTCATTATCCATAATTCATTCAATGAATGTATTATTCATTCAACCATTCATTCAACCATTCATTCATCCATTCATTCAATGAATTCTATGTGAAAAATATTATTATTTAATGTCACCATAAAAAAAACTTCTCTCTCATTGCTATCTTCTTCCACATTTAAATGTTTAAATCTTTAATTCAAATTTATTTTCCGCCAAAATAACATAACCAAAAAAACAAATAAACACCCAGTAAAGACTTCTAAAAAAAAGTGATTTCATGGAGAAAATATAAAAAAAGACATCGTCATATTGTTGCACTTTTTAAACCAATAACAGAAAAGTAAATGAACGAACGAACGAAATAGCCAACAAACAAACCAAAGTATAGAAAAATGAACCAAAGAAAATGTAAAAAAAACTAACGAAAAAAGAGAAAAAGAAACAATAGAACATACAAACGTTCTAAAAACAAAATTTAATTATTGCATAGGAGGAACAAATTTGTTCATTAAAATGTCTCAAACAATAAGTAATAAAAATAATAATAACACAAACAACAACAATAATAATAATAAATAATAATAACAACAAATAATAATAATAATGAACAACAATAATTCGTTTTTTTTTAAATTGAAATATTGATTAGACTGAAACGAACAACTGGAATGCATATCATAACTCAAGAGGGATAATAACTACATTGTACATTGAAAATAATGAAGATAAAAATAGAGCATGATAAGATGAGGTTTACACGTATACAAACACACAAACACACACACACACACACACACACATACACACACACACACATACACACACACATACACACACATACACACACATACACACACATATAAATACATATATATATATATATACAGTGTAGTATGAATTCTACCGAATTGATGACAATAATCAATTTAAAGTTTGTCATTTCAATTTTTTTTCCTATTTCCAGAAAATTCTAGTAAAGAAAATTGAAAAGACAAACTTTAAATTGATTAATGCCAACAGCTCGGTAGAATTCATACTACACTGTATAAAATATGATCTCATTCTATATATATATATATATATATATATATATATATATATATATATATATATATATATATATTATTGCCATATAAATAAACAAAACTATACAAACAAATAAATGAAAAATAAAAAGAAATACAAATCAAAATGAAAAAAAGTTAAATAAAAATTTTTCAATGTCTACGTTGTCGAAAAATGAGAATAATAATTCATTTAAGTCAGGGGTGGGCAAACTTTTTGCTGTGGAGGCCGCATTAAGAACTATTTTACCTTTGAAGGGTCGCATATGTATTTGAATAACAAATTTGTTTCGACCCGGGGGAAAATTTTTTTAAGATTTGTGGCTCCTTTTTCTTTTTTCGGTCATAATGTCTGGCTGAGGGCCATTCTTTTGGCAATCAAGTTTGCCCATCCCTGATTTAAGTCATCTGCAAAGATTGATGTTTTAAATAAATAAATAAACAAATAAACCAATAAATAATTAAACTACAAAAGGTAAACTAATTAATTAGTGAGTGTGTGTGTATGTGTGTGTATATGTGTGTGTGTCTGTGCGTGTGTATTTACGCCTTTCACACAATCATAAATTGTTTATTTATAAATCAAAAAATGAAAAATTTAGGTAAAAAATGCAAAAAAAGTCTTAGTTATGCATGATCTATAGTAAAAACATGAAAAACAAAGATATATATGTTTATTTTATTTGTCTATTCAACTCTTTACGTACATAAAAAAACCGCAAATTTGTATTAAAAATACTTGTAAATTTGTATGTGTGTGTGTCTACGTATGTATGTGTGTTTGTATGTGTATATATGTGTGAGTATGTGTGTGTGTGTATATATACATGTGTGTGTGTGTGTGTGTATGCAGTGTTTGTTAACAAAAAGGGGATTTCCAAATAGTTGCATCTAGATGGCTGAAGCTTCCATTTTTAGTTCATAACGAAGAGAGATAGGTACACATTTTTCAAAATATTTTCATCGTAATTGTCATCCTAATATAACATCAAAATGCATAACATTCAATCTTATATAAATATATATATATATAGAAAGAGAGAGAGAGAAAGAGAGAAAGAAAGAAAGAGAGAGAGAAAGAAAGAAAGAAAGAAAAAAAAGAGAGAGAGAGAAAGAGAGTAAGTTTTTCTCGTCAATTTTCTTTCATCTAAACTTCGCCTCGTTACTACTATTATTGATATTATTCAGTCTATTATTATTATTATTGTTGTTGTTGTTGTTGTTGTTGTTGTTGTTATCAGTCTTATTGCTTATAAAAGATGACGATGATATAGACGACGACGACGATGACGTCATTATTACAGATGATGACGTCGGTAATGATGATGACGTTGATGTGTTTTTACTCGATTGCTTAACGTTATTGTGATTATTACTGTTATTACTGTTGTTATTATTGTTGTTGTTGCTGTTGTTGTTGTTGTTGTTGCTGTTGTTGTTGTTGTTGTGATAGCTATCAGATGGGAAGAAAATGTTATCATAGTATGTTGGTAGACATCTCGATGGATCCAAAAAGTCAGGCATATTCATAGAAACCGATGATGTTGATGACGATTTGTTGTTGTTGTTGTTGTTGTGGTGGTGGTGGTGGTGGCCATTTTGTTGTTGTTGCTGTTGTTGTTGGTGTTGCTGTTGTTGAGCGCCGACAAACGCAGCAGCTGATAACATGTCGGCGGGTGAAGCTAGCGGCTGTTCGAGAGGTGTTTTCATTAATATATAAATAACTGTTTTTAATTAGTTAATTTATCAAATGAAAAATTAATTAATTAATTAATTAATTAATTAATTAATTAATTGAAACCTTATTAATTAATTAAAACCTTATTAAAATAAGTAACATCAATTAAAGAAATTTTGATTGAATCTTAAATAAAAACAAACCCAGACAAACCAGCCACCTGAAAATAGGGATGGATGTTGTACCTGGAATCAGAAGCAGCAGCGGCGGCTGCCATGGCGTGAGGATGATGAGGATGGGTGTGATGATGGTGATGCATAGCGGCAGCCCATCTATGATGGGGATACTGAGGATCGCCCGACCACCCCGAATAAAACGGCGACGAAGGAATATTCCTGAACAGACTGGCCCCACCAGACACGTTGGCCATTGCCAAGGCAGCCGCGTCATAATTGACATATTGATGAGAGGGTAGAGGTAAAGATGGGTGGGTTGGCCATCCCGGAAAGCACCCGGCACCCCATCTTGGGTAGTCTTGTGGAGGTACGAAAGTTCGATACATCATACGCTGCGCTGCCATGACGTCAGAGAAGCCTGTAGAACATTCTATCATTCGACGTTTCCTATCGTCGCTTACGTCACTGCGACTTCCTGGAGGTGGTTGCTAGATGGTGGTGGAATGGGAAGGAAGGAAATAGTTTGGCGAGTGTTGATGTGAAATTAAACAATGAAAAAAAAATTACGAAACCAACCCACCAAACCATAACAAAACGAGAAACAAACCTGTGGACATTCCTCGGATGACCTCCGATCTTTCCTGGGCTCCACTTTGAGATCCAGGTCAGGGAAAACAACTTCACCTTCTTCCAAGTGGGGCAAACATCCCAGAAGATGGTCACGCAGTTTTCTCAGGGCCACGAAAAAGGGCACCTTGTCACTTGCCCTGGGCAGCTGAGAACATCGGGCACTCGAAGACGGCATTACGTAAACAACCTGCGTAAAAAATGTAAAGAAGTTGTAAATTGCACGTAAGGCAAAATGTAAGATACATGTAAAGTGAAATATAAATCACACGTAAACGATCACAAAGTTAGAACGTACGGTGTTAGTGCTTGGAAAGGTTTCAGGCTGCTTGCCTATGTAGAAGTTCTTGTGGTTGCAAAAGACTTCGTATATTCCTATTCGGGTTTAATGAGTGAGTGAGTGAGCAAACGGATGAATGAATGATTCAGTGAATGACAGAATGAGTAACCAAATGAACGAATGAATGAAGGAATGAATAAACGATGAAGGAATAAACGAGAGAATAAATTTAAAATAGGATCATTCATCCTACAGACACGTAGAGTCTAAAATAAAATTCACCATTGTTAATAAGGCATTGAATCAAACAAATTAACAACACAATTAGATGAACGAACAAATGAATGAATAAATGAACGAACAAACGAGTTAATGAATGAATGAACAAACGAACGAACGAACGACGAACGAACGAATGAATGAATGAATGAACGAACGAACGAACGAACGAATGAATGAATGCATGCAGCTAGAATATAAATCGTATAAATGCATTTCTAATTAAATTAAAAAATTATTTTTAAATTAATTTAAAAAAAGGAACGAAAGAGCGCGCGCGCGCGAGAGAGAGAGAGAGAGAGAGAGAGAGTAAGAGAGATAGAGAAGGAAACAATAAAATAAATTAACGATAAAGAGAAAAAATGCATTTAGGAAAGAATGAATTAGACGCCCGCACACACGCACGCACGCACACACCACACACACTCAAAGAAAAACAGAATTACACACACACACAAAAACACAAAAACACATATACATACACAAATACAAAAAAACAAAAGACCTTTTCCATTAAACACAGCTATTTTTGGTTTGTACATTTGGATCTTTTCTGTTAAACTCTCAATGCCTTCCTTGATCTCGCGTCTGAATGAATAAATGAATGAATGAATGAATGAATGAATGAACGAACGAACGAACGAACGAATGAATGAGAGAATGAATGGATGAACAAAAGAATACATTGATAGGTAGCTTGTTAAGTGTATGTACGTATATATGAATGAATATGAACGAATAAAAAATGAATTATGTAACAAATAAATCATAGTAAAGACACTGAACAGACTTAGATTAAAATCTAGCAGTGATAAAGACATAATAGCAGCGATGCCTAACAAAATACTTAAACAAAGAGACAAACAAACGAACACACAAACAGACACGCAAACAAACACGTAAACAGACACACAAATGAGCTAACAAACAAACGAAAAAAAACAACAAACCTAGAAAACTCCACACTGCCCTTGGTGCATCTAGCTACGAAATTCGTAAAACCGATCCCATATTGTTTCAGCTTGTAATCATCACTGGCGTTCATGGGTTCTGGAATTAATCCGGATAGATATAAGCACTTCCCTAAAATTTGCATAAATTATCATAAATTAATTTTTGGGCTGATAGTTTGATAGTGAGGTGTTTGGTTCTGCTGCTACTGCAGTGGCAAGCCTCGAATGCATCCTATCCTCTTATCACATACCATAAAGAGAGAATTAATAACGTCATGTTAATTATTATCTGTGTTTGTGTTTGTATGTATGTGTGTGTGTGTGTTTGTGTGTGTATGATGAATAAATAAAATATTTATTAAATAATAATTGAAAAATTATGGAAAATAATTAAAATTATAGTTTACAAAAATGGTTGCCGGGTCCAGCGTAATGGTGCCCTAGATAGGCAGCCGTTAAACCTGGGCAGCTCCCTATCTGGAAATGAATAAAAAAAATATTTCTCGTTCGTTCTGTCAATCATTTATTCGTTCCTTCGTTCATTCGTTCATTCAACATTGTTCACTCGTTGTTCTCTCATGGATTGTTCGTCCGTCGATCCACTAACCATCTAATCCAACCGTTCGTCAATCACCATTTCACAATCATTCACAACCAACCAATCATTCATTCATCCATTCATTCATTCACACATTCATTCATCCATCCATTCACACATCCATTCAATAACAACACAAACAACTGCAAAACCTACAATAATAATATCAAGATTATGCGACAGCAAGTCGGGAACAGTTCTTTTCAGGACGTCTTCCTCTGTCAGTCCGTTGAATCTGTCCCTCTTCTTCTTACTACTGGTGCAGTCTGACGATGTGGCCTCTTGCTTCACGTGGGAGGTCTCCATTAGGGAAGACGTATTATCATCAGTCGTCTTTGATGAGTAGCTGGGTTGGAAAAGATGTGCGTGTGCGTGTGTGTGTGTGCGCGTGTGTGTGTATGTGCAAGGTGTGCGTGTTAGATTATGCGTATACTTTTCTATAAAATTGGGTGTGTGTGTATGTTTACTGTTATGCGTGCGTATGTGCGTGTGTTTTATCTGGTGACACACACACAAACACACACACACACACACAAACAAACACACACACACATACTCACCTATCTTTACCAGAATTGGCTTGGTGTATCACACTGCCTTCGGACCTCAACTTAGTTCTGCCGCTCGGCTGGTTACTGCTACTACTACTACTGTCGATGATGTTGTAAGAGAGCGAGGATGAAGATGACGACGAATTGTTTTTATTATTATTATTATTGTTGTTGTTGTTGTTGTTGTTGTTGTTGTTGTTTGAAGAGGTAGTAGGTGTAGATGAAGAGGTTGGCTCGACGGGCGTGCCACATGACATGGAGGGCGTCCGACTAACTTGAGTAGAGGCCGGCTGCGGAAAACCGAACGACGGATGGTGAGAATGGGGATGCGGTGGATGAATAAAACCGGGGAATTCGAATTTTTGAGTGGAGGAGGTCGGGTGGAAGTTTGTAGGGTCGGCCGGGGTGTAGTAAGGGGGGTAGTAGGATTCTTGGCGCCACCCTGTAGCCCACAGTTGAGGGTCATAGTTGCCACAGCCGGAAAAACTGATAATTTACATAAATTAATATCAATTAGTATACACTAATTAGCATTCATTCATTAATATACATGAGGCTGATTAGTATTCACTAATTTTAATTAATATTATATATAAATATTTATATAAATGCAAACATTAAAGTAGATTGTTAGTTCAATTACTTAACAGTGATTTAATGTCATTTTAATTCTATTTCAACCAAAACTTATTTAAACAGCCAGCCAACTTTATTCAAATAAATTTGTAATAAACTCAAAAGAATTAGCAATATCATTAAGATATAGAATAAACAAGATAAGATAAACATCTGAAAATGTACAGCTAAAAAAGAGTTTACATACATTTAAAATTAATGAATTATTAGCAAATATAGCTAATATTATTAAATATTAGAAACAAACATTAAAAACCAATAAATAAATGAATCTCAAAGTCAAAATTGATTTAAAATTGAAAGAGGTAAAACTTCAAACTCACAATGGTTGAGATGACTCATTGATGTTCATTATTTTTGATTGTAATCTCTAATGCCAATCCTTTTTTAATTAATAATTCTAAAAAGAATTCAATTTAACTGGTTAAAACTGCAAAGATTTATTTTATTATTACCACTACTATATCAAATTATATTATTATCAGACCTAAAAATAGCTTGCAATTTCAATGTCAACATTCAGCAAACCTATACAACTACAACATATCTCAAAGAATAAAAATAACATTAAAAAATAAGTCAGATTAGTAGAGAGATGATATGAAATTAACTAAAAATTCAATTTATACTTTATAGTTATGTTAATTTATTAATTAATAATTATGTACCTCACATCAACACTGGCTGTCAATTAATTAGTAGTAGCTGGTATATCAAGTTATCATTTTAAATTTCAATGAATTGCAGTCAGAGAGGTATTTGATTAATTATTTAATTAACTAATTACCAGTTTAACACAATACATCTGAATAACAATCGAGAAAGACAGTACATAATTTTCAATTGTTGTCAACATTTTAGTTTAGTTCTAACTTATAATTACTAAAAAGAAACAATACTACTAAACACACAACTCCAGCATACATATATATATATATATATATATATCATATATATATATCATATATATATATATATATATATATATATATACCACACATATATATGCAGTTAAACCTCTGTTATTTAACCCAATGCTGATGTGATAGCACAAATAGTGATAGAGAACCTTGCAAATAGTACATTGGGGGCATTTTTTCGATCAATCAATCAATCAACAACCCTAACAAACACCAATGATGAGCAGCATACTATTACTATACCGTATATAATACTATGGCAAAGCTGTACCATGCTATACAATGGGTAAAACCGTACATATATATACCAGGCTGTCTATGGCATAGATTAGTGAACAGAGCAGACGATCTAAATATAAAAATGTAGACACCATTCTATGGCATGGTGTTAAAATTCTCTGCTTACACACACACACATCAAACACATTCATCCATTCTTTTATTCAATCTTCCATTCATTCATTCCTTCGTTCGTTCATTCATACATTCATTCATGCATACAACACAGGCTATTTTATAATACATTGTCAGTGTTGTGTTCAGTGCGGAGTATATAATGGTATAATGGTATAATCCTATACAAACATACATACATACCTATGTATATACATATACAAACACACATACATACATGCATACACACATACACACATGCATACACACATACATACATATACAAACACACATACATACATGCATACACACATACATACATATACAAAAACACATACATACATGCATACACGATATACAAATACGCATACATACAATTTCTTATTGCATACTTAGAAATTTGTAACGTAAAATAACCAGATCTCAACAACAAGTTCATCGGTTAGCTGTTAGTTACATACATCGAAAATGACAACCAGAATTAATGGCAAATTATAAATATTTAAATGTTCATTTATTTATTTATTTTAAAACATTTCTTTTAAATTCCTTCTAAATAATTTTGTATTTATTTAGAAAACCTCCTCTTTTTAACGTGTTTTAAACTTGCAGACTAAATTTCTGGTTAAAAGTAAAATAGGCATTTAAATTTTAAAGAGATTTATGGAAAACCAACTTAATCATACAAAAATAATGAAAAAATTTATTTTCACTGATTTAGAAATTAACAATAACTATTTTTGCCTACAATATAGCAAAAACCGTTAATAATTATTAATATTTCATCAATTTAACATCAAAATTCATTAAAATTAACCCTGAAAATTGCATGAAAGCTGCCTAATTTAATACAATACGGCAAGTATTAGCATTATTAACTTTACCTTTTCTAAGTTACTAAGTACATTTTGAATATGTATAAAATATATATATAAAGAGAGAGAGAGAGAGAGAGAGAGAAAGAGAGAGAGAGAGAAAGAGAGAGAAAGAGAGAAAGAAAGAGATTTTACATTTATTCATGTTTAAATTTTGAATTAATAACATTTGAAATCAATACAAAACTCATCCGTTCTACTTCTTTTCAATGCTTACATTCAAATACACACCCACCACATATGTGTGTATAGTTACTGTATACACACACACACACACACACACACACACACACACACACACACACACACACATAATATTTGTAGGTACGTTATAAATTAAGACATTCTTCGGAATTATTTAATATGTCGGATAGCTAATATAGATATAAATATATGTATTCATGTATGTGTGTGTCAATGTGTTTTTGTGTGTGTGGGTGTTTGTTTGTGTGTGAATGTGTATGTAAGACAGTGTATATAACTGTATGTGTGTGTGTGTGTGTGTGTGTGGTGTGTGTGTGTGTGGTGTGTGTGTGGTGTGTGTGTGTGTGTGTGTGGTGTGTGTGTGTGGTGTGTGTGTGTGTACCTACATAAACAACAGTAATTGCGTGTTGTGGCTCTTTTTAGCCGTCATTCCATTCTGTCATATAACACAAAACGTAATAAATTCTCATATAAATTATGAATAAACTTATCATTAGCTGTAACAGTATATTTATACAACCATGAATACATATACGAAACGAAACGGTATTTTATTTGTTTCTCAAAATTGAAAAATTTAAAGAAAGCAGGATACATACATACAATACATACATACATACATACATACATACATACATACATACATACATACATACATACATACATACATACATACATACATACATACATACACACACACACACACACATATACATGAACATAGATATTTTTACGTTCGTGTTCTGTATGAATGTATCAGGCGAAATAGTTTGACGTGATATTCTATGCAGACAAGCGGGCGCACATAAACAATAAAATTGGTGACTAAATATACATAATAATCGTCGTCGTCATCATTTGATTGTTTGTTCGTTCGTTCGTTTGTTCGTTCGTTCGTGGTTCGTTCGCACACTTGTTAATTAGTACATTTTTTTTGTTGGTATTTTACTCAATTTTTTTATGTTATGATGTACAACCATTTGTTTGTTGTTCTTTGTTTTGTTTGCGAACATGTTCTTACATCGTATGTTCGTACGTCTGCCGTTTGTTCGTTCGTTCGTTCACACGCACAAACTCGTTCTCAATTTATTCTCAATCTATTTTAGAATAAATAAAATTAGTTCTATTCAGGATTAATTTATAATATTAATGTTCTGAATCATTTTATTCTATTTACGTACTTATTTGTGAGCATTGCAAGCAAACCGAGAAAAATTTTTTATCTCAAGAAATTTTTATTTGAAAGAACATTCTATTGGATTGTTCGGCAATAAATTTGTAAAATTTGTTTCCTCTCTCTTTATCTCCCTCTCTTTCTCCTTTTCTTTCTCTCCTCTCTCTCTCTCTCTTCTTCATTTCTATCTCTTACTCTCCTCCGGATGAATTTTTTAAACTGCTAATTTTCTTGCGGTTTTAAATTAAATTGGCGTGATGTGTTTCAATCTTTCTTGGTCTTAACAGTCCTGTAGGATGATGAGTTAAATAAAATGTTTCTGTTTTTTTGCTTATTTGTGTGTGTGTTTGTTTGTGTGTTTGTCGGTTTGTTTGTGTATGTGTGCGAGGTGAGAGAGAGAGAAATTCTTAAATTTTAAATTCATTCATTCGTTCTTTCGTTCGTTTATTAATTCATTCATATGCATGCATGCATGTATATATATGTATGTATGTATGTA